ATTTCATATTGATTAAATTTTTATTTGAATTCGTTGTTTATTTTAAATGAATTTACACAATTTAATTTTGATTGCATGTTTGGTGGCTTTTATTATTTATATTTCTTTTAAATTTAATTTCTACCATTCTTGTCATTTTCGTTAACTGCTCTGTCCTGTAGGTCGGCAAATAATATTCCCCATATTATTATACGAGTATATTAGAAAGCATTGTTTGGCGATAAATAAATGAAAAAAATATATTAAAGTTTCGAACACTATTCAATTTATTTTGATAATAAAATGAATACGATGATAAAAATGTGTGTTCAATCCCATTTCGTTATTCCCAGTGCAAAAAAATTTTAAAAACAAATTAAGGTAAGCTTCCGCTTACTATTAGACTAACTTTTCACTGCATGACAATTCGCAATCAAACAATCAATGATGCAAATATATAGTATTTCAGATAGTTTCACAAAACAGTGGACTCACTTAGCAAATAATTCCAATTAGCTATTACCGTTTCATTATTTTTGATTGCTGAAGAACATTGATTCCTATTTTAAAAAGTTATTATATTTTCTGTTTTTATTAAAACTATGCACACTAATGGCGGAGTAATAGGTAATCGGTTTCAACAAAGTACTATTAAAGAAAAGTACTATTAGAAATAGTGTTTTGAAAACTATAACACAGATAACACAAATTGAAATTATCTGTTAAGTGAACCCAATATTTTTGAGGCTGTTGCTTAAAGCTTTAAAAAATGTTCAAAGCTACCATTTGACGAATCAAAATAAAAATGATTTTAATTGAACAAAATGAATTCGAATAAATGGAGCAATAAAAATAATTTCAAAATGTTAATTAAATTAAATGTTTAATAAGTATTCTACTCTTTCTAAACCATTGTGAATGATGAAACTCATTTAGCCCTTTCAGCGGGGCCAGCTCAAATAATTATCTAGATCTGCTCTATTGCCTTCATTAGCCCGCCACTGACAGTTTTGTCAGTTAATGAAACTATTTGTAAATATGGTATGAAATGTCATTGACAACTTTGTAGCTTCTGCTCATTGTTGAAATTAGCGCTGGGTTTGTTGCACTTAATGAAGTTTTTACGAACCAAACGAGATACCAAACCAAACCAAACCAAACGAAACTCAAACTCAAAACTGTGCAGCTGCAACTACAACTACATGCAATGCTCCTGCTTGGGTCGGGAGACCACCAGTGGCGCTTTACTTAAACGCTTGTGAAAATTGGCGCAAATAAACATGCAAGCAGAGTGAAATTTGTATGCGGTAAAAGTTTTTCCACTAAAAATTAGTTAAAAGTCCAATAAAACAACACTAGCAGCAGCAGCAGCAGCAACAGCAACAGGGAGCAGCTGGCATTCTTAACCCGTTGGCGACCAAACCAACTCCAACCCGAACACCAACCCAATGAGGCTGTTGATGGGCATGGGGATGACGATGGCGATGGCGATGATGCTGATGCGTATGGCAGAGATTTTCACAGGCTGCCTGGCGCGCTCGTGTACGTAGAGCATAATTCCAAAAGTTTTTATCATCAACAACCTTGTCCACACTCCTGGCTTTCACTCTCGTTCTCATCACCATGGCAGTCCTTGTTTGGCTCGTTAAAAGTGAAACAAGTTTCCGTTTTGCAAGCTGCTTAAAAATTATATTCCTAGCATTTGCTATTAATTTCTGTTTCATGGCCATGTAGCTAGTTAAGAGACAACAACTACAACATAAGTAAGTAGGAGCGGGCCACATAACACCAACTGCCGCTAGCAATTATCATTCCGAAACCGCATCCGCATCCAACCCAAGCATACATTTACAGTTTCATGTTAATCTCATTTTAATAAACTCCACTTTGAAAACTTTTTAATCACCTCGAAAATTTCGTCAAATATGTATGTCTACACGCTTTTAAGCCGCTTGAAGCAAAACTAAAACAGCACAACGTTCAGCATCGTCCTCGTCGTTTTCAGCCAAACATCCTGCCCGCAGTTGTAGCTCTTATGGCAGTTTTTGCTGTTGTTGTTCTTCTTGTTGTTGTTGCTGCTGTTGTTGTTAACATGTATGACGATGTAGAAACTTGCCGCTGTTCGACGCAATTGAAGTTTCGACAGATTTGGTTGCGTTTATCGCTTTGAGCTTCCGAATTGCGCACACTTGGAGCTCAGTTCATGTAACTTTTTCCATGAAGCGATTAAGCCCCTACTCCAATATTTGTTGCAAGTGTGTGGGCTTATTTGGTTCTCGGCATATTCATGTCGGTCAGCTTAAATGTGAATTAACTCTCCACAATTCGATAGATGATAGAGCTTTCTTTATTAAGCTGTGCTCGAACGAGTAGAAATTGAAGGGAACTTGCAGGCCCCTTGCCGAATCCGATATTTAGTTTCCAATACGGCCATATGGCACATATGTACATACTTGTACAAATAATTAAATTATTTGTATAAGATCGGTCTATCCAAGCTGGATTTTTTGCAGAAATATTACAATCTTTTCGATATAAATAATTAAATTATTGGTATAAGATCCGTGTGTCTAAACTGGACTTTTTGCAACAATATTACAATCTTTTCGAACTCTTAAGCTGTATATTCGCTTTGTCATAACAATTTTTATTTTTAATACTATTTTTATTTTTATTTTTATTTATTTATTAACTTAACTTATCCTAGCGTTACAAGCACGAGATTACTTTTGAGTTATTACGCTAGTCATTACATATTCATTTCGGTTTAATTTAGTTTAAATTGACATTTAATATTACAATTACATTTAGGAGTTCTAGTTAGCATGGTTTAGGCAGAAGACTTTCTCCATCATGTCAGAACTAGAACATTCTAAATGCAGACGTAAATTTAGACGCAATATTACTTAATTTCAAATAACTTAGGAAAACAAAATTTTCAAACAAGTTTGAGTTGCCCAACAACAAGGAAGAAGTCGTTACAAGTTCAACAATCTTAGCGCGATATGTGATTCCTAACTAGAAACCTTAAGCTGTCCTTTCCGATACAAAGCAAATTTTCTGTATTAATTGGACTTCCTGCTCCTCTTGACAAAATTCTTGGCTAAAAGTTCTTTAATAAATAAGAACTTAAAGACGGTGTTCTGTACAATCGTACAGAGTTTTAAATGAAAATATATATTGAGGACGAGTCTTTCTAGTCCATCTGTTTATCGGTTTGTCTGTATAACAGCAACGATCGTTGAAAGTACAAGACCATGCTCTACTAAAGACATTTTTCCAAGTTGTATCCTAATTGTTCAATTGTTAAGGATAATTTTACGTGCTTTGAATGTGCCCAAATAAAAGCAAACTTACCTATAAATATATATCCTGGTATTTTTTTTAATTCAAGCTCTTTATAATTCGAGTTTCTCAAAAATGTTTGTTTAACATGAAGTTCAATTAATTAATCAAAGGGGTACAGTATTTGAAGTACTCCCTTAAATCAGCTTCTATGAAATTTATTTTACACCAACTGAATACAAAAAGTTAACAAAGTTATATATATTTCTTTTGGCCAGAATACGACCGAAAGGTTTGCACAAACAATGTTTTTCGAACTATTTTGGCATCACCTGCGCAGCCAATTACCCTCAGTGTTAGCTTGGTTGAATGTTTTTACAAGTTTGGCCTCCCAGCCAACTCGAAGCATTTCTAGAATTGCACGAAGGACTACTGCGTACCCATCTTCAATCGCATGAACTCCTTCAGTGCTTCTCAGAGAGGCGACAAAGCGTGAGGCTATTTATTTGCACGACCCACAGGATTGCTGTGCGTTTTCTTTAACTGGATCCTTGGCTGCAGTTTTAGCTCGGTGTCGTCGCCGTCGTGGCAAAAATGAAATGTGGCAGGTAATTAAGCCGACAGAATTGCTAAATTATTGTAACTATGTGCGGGAACATCCTGCCACAAGCCCAAGCGGCGTCTGCCGCTCAAGTTAATGAGCCGTTAAAATGGAATCTCAGCCGTTGGCTGGGCGCGTTCTGTGTTTTTTGTGGGCACGTCTGGCTGACTGCGTACTTCTTTGACCGTTTGTCTTGGCTTTTTGTTATGTTGGCAGCTTTAACTGCCTGCCTATTCCCTACCCGCCTGGCACCCGCCTGGCACCTGCCAGCACCTGTGCCTCTGCCTGGGCTGCCTAATGACGAAAGCGTTATTAATATGCGTGGGAGATAAAGGCACAGCGCTCTTGTGCTAGCTCCCGCTTTTTATGCTTTTTGGCTAGTTATAAAAATGCTATAAAATTAAATTGCCATAAAAACATATTCGCTCCTTGCTGCTGCTGCTGCCGCTGTTGTTGTTGTTGTTTTTGTTTTTGTGCCCATAAACTCGTACCTAACGTGATGTATTTGTTAATTTTATGCAAATTGTTGTGGTATGGCTATATGGCTGCTTGGCAGTCGCAAGCCGCAGTGCGCCGCCGGCCAACAGCAGCTTGCAGCCACCACGGGGCATAATCAGGCGGCGCGATAAACTGGAACTAATTTGGCAACCCTTTTTGTGGCCACATCCATGCACCCTTTTTTTGGGCTTGTGCTTTGCGCCTGCTGCCCACATCCAAAGTCCGCCGCGCGCCCTGAAAACCATTCGAGTGTATGAGTACGCACTTAACGCGTGAAGAGGCTCATTTGCCTAGGCGCCGCCCCTCGTTGGGCGCCAGTTATTCTATCCCATCGAGAGCAGTCTCATTTCAACAGCTCTGATTTGGCTCTCAAATTGAGGTCGTTTACAGTTACAGAGACATACAAAATTTTAGGTTTCCCCACATCGATTGTTTTCTTTTTTCAATTTTATGTTCGTCTGCACACATCATTACTGACATGTCGAAGGGGTCGAGCATGCTGCGAGCGATGGTCGCTCGGTCGCTGAGTGCGGCCATTCGCTGTCGGCATCATATCGCCCGCTTCCGTGTCCTGCACGGGCCTGGCCAGCGGACGCCCGCGGCTCTAATGCGCACCGCACTACGCCCCTGGCATCAGCTGGATGCCCACGAGCAGGCCAGTTACAATGAGGTGAGTGCGCCAGAAGGGCAGCGGTACATTCTATCTCTTATGTTGATCCATGCAGACAGAATACCAGGTCGAACGTTTTGGTGCAAGGGGCGACGTCGGGGCATATTGGCAGTCTATTTTTATGGAACGCGCACCATTGTCCACTGATAAAGGCTTTGCACGGCCAACAGCCAGGAATGTAAGGAACATGCCAGCCGCAAGACAAGAGCGTGATTTCAATGAGGCTCGCGCTCAAGCACAAGCCGGGTCGACCAGTCATATGAACAAGCATGAAAAGAACTAAGCTCTAGTAATTCAATTCTTGCTCTCGGCCAAATAAATAATAAATAACCACATAAAGATGACTGGGCATATTATTAAGCTAATTGAAGAAGCAATTTCGTGATTTGTTTGCCCTAAACTTTAATAGTTCACACCTCCCTAATCTCCCATGTCCTAATTGAAAAATTTGGAGCTGGTCCTAAAAATGATTCTCCTTCCGAGTAGCTTCGTGCAGCAATTGCGTGTCTACCTCATCGCCGGGCAACTGCATGTAACGTATTACTGAGCCGCGGACGAAGCAGCTCTTTATGTTCGTCAGCTGTGGATATTTACACGGCTCTGTGGTACTAATGCTGGTCAAATTGATGTTGAGGTACTGATCCACGAACGCCAAGGTACCGTAGATGCTGAAACATAGCCCACATCGAGCATCAAATAAACAAGTAATTGCAAAAGATAGCATACCTGAGATCGTTCTTCAGTTCCACCACGACTTGGTGGCCTACGAGCGACCTGAAGAAAGAGTAAAACAGCTGTGGAGAGAAGTGCTTGGTTAGGGTATTAAATTGTAATTTTATTTGTCATTTACCATTTTGGAATTGAGGTTGCATTCGTTGCTTGTAAGAAAAAAGGATGACAGTTCTAGCATTTCTTCTTCTTTGTTGCCATTCCATATGAATAGAAAATATTCATATAGTTTTCCAGGAATTGGAAAGCAAAGAGTTTGGTGTTGCAAAGTGTGTTCTGTAATCCCAACAAAATCACAATGTAATCACATTGACCTTCATGTGCTTGGGGAAATCATAGCTACATGCATCGCATTCAATTGAATTACAGCTTATTGCTTATTGGAAGAGAATTGAACAACCAATCTGATGATGTGTGTGGATGTGCATGTAAGCTTTTGAAATTTAACAACTAATGTATAGTTAAGATGCTTTAATTCTGATTCAAACATTCTATTGACGCCCTCAAAATCAATAGCAACAGTCGACATAATTAAAGATAACCGACAACTGAGATTAGTTCAAATGTTGAGCCGTCATTACAATTTCTCAATTTCACAAATCAAAGCACAATGGCCACAACAATAGACGAATATCGTATTCATTGGGCCACAATAATGTCGTAAATTCAGAACTATGCTCCAATGCATCCCTTTCATACTGTGGAGCAAAGAGACCGATTCGTTTGAGTAAGGCCAATATTTCAAATATTTATAAAAATATTTAAAAAATGCTCCCTCTGTTGCTATTATGTGTTTTCTGCTGCAGAGATAATTATTTCCTTTACTTATATACGCGATGAGTTCATTGTTAAATGTTAGTCGTATCACATATTGTAATACCAATTAGTTAAAGCTGCTTGTAGCGATGTAAGTCTCTTAAAATAAAATCGATAAATTCGATTATACTTGTATACAAATCAAAATTAAGATGAAATGCCTGACAATCTTAAATTTTTATAATAAAATTCACATTTTAATAAAAACAAACAAACAACAAATTTAAAATACAAATATACTCTCTAGAGGAGACAACAAATTTGAAAAATGTACGATGTTTGGACAAACATCGATAGGTCGCCAATGCATCGCAAGCCAAACGAAAAATCGGAAAACATCGATGCATTGCGTTAAAAACACCGTCGATGCTCGATATATCAATGTATCCTACATCCCTGTCTTATTGTGATGCTTATTCTAGTTCTGGCGTTCGTACCAGCCAAATAGAGCAGCATGAACAACAGAGTTTTGCAACACTACCGACACCACCTACTTCTTGTTTTGCTTACACTTTCTATTATGAAGCCTCTGTGCAGACAATCATACTCGTGCATGCACACACATTTATGTATGCTTTTACTGGTTTTTCGAATAAACAAATCCTCAGATATTCACCCAAGTTCCATCAAAGATGGTTGCACAAGCAAATGAACATTACCAAAAAATTGAACGGTTCTTGTACCAGCCAAATAGAGCAGCATAAACAACAGCGTTTTGCAACACTACCGACACCACCTGCTTCTTGCTGTGTTTACTCTTTCTGTTATGAAGCCTATGTGCAGATATGTGCATGCTTTTACTGGTTTTTCCAAAAAGCAAATCCTCAGATATTAACCCAAGTTCCATCAAAGATGGTTGAACATTACCAAAAAATTGCGCAATAAGGTTGGAATCACACTGCTCTGTCACATTTGTTATCGTTGACATTTTGCAGAAAGTCCCCTGGTGGGCCCGAAATTCGACTGATTATGTATGTATGTATGTATGTTAGAGAGCGTAATTGATCGAATATCAACTTTTGTTTTCCGGAAATTTGGTCCTTTATACCACTGTTTGTATGGATATATTAAACTTCAAAGTCGCCTCTTATTGATTTCCTCATGCAACATTTCCGAATGCATTGCCGACAGGCACGTACATGTTTCAGCATTGCAGCGAACAATGGGCCGTTTGCGTAAGCGAATTAGCATATCGAAGCCACAGCCATCGCCAAGACAATGCTCTCCATTGTTTGTGTGGGCATGTGTGTGTCTGTGTCTGTGTCTGTGCAGGGAGCAAGGACGAGGACGAGGCCAAATCGAATTCAAGGTTGAGCCACACAAAACGCGTAATTAGGGAATTAATCGTAATAAGTGCTTGGTGAATTGTCAGGGCACACGAGGGCAGAGGCTGACTATAAACACGAACTGGGTCTCTTAACAGCCAGCACATTTTGCCTTTGATTAATTAATTAATTTGATTTTATTTCCACTCGGGCATACGCGGTGCATACGAAAGATGTTCTGGATGTGCTGGACACAATTCTCAATCTCAATCAGAGGTTGCCAGTCGACCTCTTCCCCCCCCTGTTCACTTGATATGCCAGGCATGCATCGATGCAGTATCTGGTACGACAACTTTAATCCTTTGGTTACTTGCTGTGCCGTCTGTCTTCGACCCTCGTCCCAGTGCCCAGGCAGTGTGTCAACAAATATCAAAAGCTTTCCCTGCACTCGCTCTAGCTTTGACACAGACTGATTGCCTGCTGTGCCTCGGCCTCAGTCTCTGCTTCAGCGTCAATCCTACCCCACCACACATCCCTCCGGATGCCTTACACACGTTGTTATCAACTGCCCGACGCACCTGTATAAATAAATATATGCGAAAATCTATAGCCGAGCACGGCCATGGTCAATTTTTCTATTGTCATCAAAGTGCGGCACGACGTTGTAGTTGCTCCTGTCGTTTCTGTCGTTCCTGCCGCTTCAGTTGCCGCTGTAGTTGATGTTAACACCTTCATCGGTACATGCAAAAGGCGTCAAGGGCTAACACATCCGTACATCCTGCACACTCATACACCCAAACACCCATGCACCCATACACCCATACACCCACGCACAGTCAACAGTTTTTCTACTGAATTAACTGTCTCGAGCCGAGCCATTTTCATGCATTTCCTTTCGAAGCGCGGCGAGCTGAAAAAGACCAAGGTAAAAAATGGAAGGGAGCAGAGCAAAAACTGTTGCGGAAGTTGTCACTCAAATGTTGGGGTTGGGGCTGGGGTTGGGGCTGGGACTGGGGCTGGAGAAGAGGGACTGCTGCGGTGACATACTCGTTCAAACAATTGCAAAACTGACGCTGCCCAACGGAGGCAAGTCTCGCTTCCTGGACCGATGCTGCATTCGAAGCTAGAGGCTAGAGAGAACTGTCTGTGTGTGTGTTTTTGTATGTATGAATGTATGTGTGTGTGTGTGTGTGTGTGTGTGTGTGTTGTTGATTCTCTTTTTCTATTGTGCCGCCTGAAATCTAACTGTACTAAATTATACACACACATGCAAGTGTGATGCAAATGACCACAAAAAACGCATTCTAAGCACGACTAGCATGCCAGGCTGGGCTTAAAAAAAAATCAAAATTGTTCATTTGGGGTGCGAGAACCATTGCCACGCCCATCTGTTCACCTGACCACCTGGCCAACCTATTGTTCTTGCCAGCAACATCATTGCTATTGTTGTTTATTTTGTCCAGGCTCAGATTTAAGCTCTGTACACATACTACGCTTTGTTGTAATGGATATGACAGTTGGAGTGTTCCAGAGCGAACATCAATCCCTACAACCGACCCAGCCAGTCAGGCCTTCAGGATCTGCCCTGGTGCTGAAAAGCTGTTTGACGCGCGGCTTTGAATTTCGGCATACAAATTAAAATCAACTTTGTAGTTGACTTGCGAATTTTAAATGCACTCTTCATACGATTATTTTGGTTCAACAAAGCTTGAATCTATTTTGTTCTATTACAGGACTCCTGTTTTAGTTTTAAATGCAAGTGACAATCTTTGTCTCCCTTACTCTCTTCATCCAATTCAATAATTTGTAGTAAACGCCTGATTTAAGTTTTCGTCTTGATCAAAGCCAGAAGCCTTGTCAGTTTATTTAGAAGCTCCATCAGCCCTTCATGAATTATTTCGGGCCATAACTTAGGGAGTGGAATTGTAAACCTTGCACGGCTCTACAAATTAACTCTATGCTGTGTACATTTTGTGGGGCCTTAGACAGCTTTACTAGGTATTTAAAATCCAGATTTGTAAAAATTAATTTATAAGAAAACAAAAAGAAATTTTCGAAATTTCTTTTTGGTCTCTGTGAGTCCTAATTTTCCTTTGTTTAGTAATGTAATATGAAAATAAGTTAGTGTAGGAATGCCCTAATTGTGTAACAGTAGGAACGCCCAGTACTCACTAACAGCTAAAAATTAAGCAGTGACTATAACAGATAAGAATAAGTCAATTAAGATCGACCAGGGAGAGAAGGAAGACGCTTGGTGAATATTGAACTTAAAGAGAACAAATATAAAATATTGTTAGTTGTAATAAATTTAATTTACTCAACAGTTGAAATAAAATAGAAAAGAAAAGTCGGTTCCTAAAACAACATTTCAAACGGAGTGGCTAGCAACGTTGATACTATGAATCGATGAAAGGTATACTAACGACCAACTATTAGAAGTCTTGTAGCGCCTACTTCGCTTCCCAATTCGATTGCTCTTTAGCCTGATTGTTTTGGAGACGCTCATTTGAATCCTTTGCATGATTGTATTGTCAATAGCGATTATGCAGGCAAAATCAAGTGATGGAGGAGTTTTAATTTAATCCATATAGTATTCGAATTTGAAGCCTGCTATTGTGTTATTGCACATTTATTAGCTTCGTTTAAACAAATGCATACTTTCCAAATAAATATCGACAATAGAATATCAGAAAATCGGGTTTATCCACAGAATCCACGCCATCAAAAATATTGTTATACCCTGTACCCGTAGGGTAAAAAGGGTATATTAGGTTTGTGCAAAGTATGTAACATACAGAAGGAAGCATCTCCGACCCCATAAAGTATATATATTCTTGATCAGCATGACGAGAGAAATCGATCTAGACATGTCCGTCCGTCTGTCCGTCCGTCTGTCCGTCCGTCTGGATGAACGCGAGGATCTCAGAAACTATAAAAGCTAGAATAACCAAAGTTGGCATCCAGATTCTCCTAGGTCCGAGTAAGGACGAGTTTATGTTTTTTTAATTTTCCCCCCCTTCCCCCGCTACAGAATTTCGTCAATAGCGTCCACATTTCAAATGCTACCTAAACCAAATTTTGCACACATAATTAATA